ATGACTGTGCTTTTTCTCCCAAATCACTGAGTTTCAAGCCCTAAAACTACTATGGTTGTGTTTAGAAGGTCCTTTACTTAAAGTTTGATGTAGGACTTTGTTGATTTTGAGTGAGATTTAAGTGCAGTTGGAGCAAATGAAATTTTGGAGAAAATCTTCCCCAAGCAACCATGGAGGCCGCGGCTTAGGAGAGAGAAGAGGGAGGGAGATGAGTGAATAGTGACACAATCCTTGTTGTCATCTAATGACTTAAGTGGAGTGGGTCCCACCGCCACGTTACGCGATTCAAATTAATTCAAATCTCCCGCTTATTCCACTAAACGTCTATAATTTCTTAAACTAATTAGAAACTCCAATTTTTAACTTTAACTATTGTCCTTTAATTGCCCTTGATCAGATGAATTCGGAGTTTTCCGGTCATTCGGAGAATTCATAGTTTTAAGCTGTTATGCGCGCTTTGGGAATGTTTCCCCCAAAACCCTAATTTCCATCAATGTTCACCAGAAATCACATTTCCTAGTCTTATGTACCATTTATAACTTATTTCCAAACCTAGAGCTCAAAATTCATTCTATACGCTTTTTGGTGCAACTGTACCGCAATATTTTTACTTGGTAAAAATACTATTCATCATTTTTCCAGAAACTTGCCTAACCACTTAATTTTCGTTCTGAGTCCATTTTCAGGATTATTTTTTCTATTTGAAACCTTCTACTCAAATTTCCTTTCCAAGGATTACGTGTTTGGCAATTTACTGTTTTACCCTTTTGACGTATTTTGACTCCAAATTCAGGATTTTCACTAATCCTACCTTTTAATCCATCTTTTAACTATAATTAAGTATTTTAGAATTACGAGGTGTTATAATGTAGAGTTGAAACCTTGTGTTTTACTCCATATTTCTCCAATAACCTCTCAAACTAGTGATTAATAAAGTGTTTCCCACCATCACTGATAATACAACGAGGAGTTCCATACCTTGTCAAAATATTTTTCTTCAAAAACTTTACCACAAGTTTGGCATCATTAGTGGTTAAAGCAACAGCTTCTACCCACTTGCTCACATAGTCTACAGCCATTAGAATGAATTTGTTCCCACAAGAGGGGGGAAATGGACCCATAAAATCAATGCCCCAAACATCAAACAATTCAACTTCTAATATAGGGTTGAGAGGCATTTCATTCTGCTTGGTTATGTTCCCGTCCTTTTGGCATCTATCACATTGTTTAGCATATTGAAGTGCATCTTTAAAAAGAGAGGGCTAATAAAAACCTAATTGGAGTACTTTGGATCCAGTCCTGATTCCTCCTAGATGGCCTCCATATGGAGAGGAATGACAGTGGAAGGGGAATCGAGTTTGTTCTTCTGGAACGCACATCCTTATCATTTGATTTGCACATCTTTTGATAGAGGTTCATCCCATAAGTAGCTCCTGCAATCATAAAAGAATTTCTTCTTTTGCATCCTATTTGCTTCATAAGGTTCTATCCCTGCTGCAAGAAAGTTGGCAAACAATTGTTCATCAGGAAACGTCTCCTCGATAGGCAGACCAACTTGAGTGTGCTCTAATCTGGATATGTGATCTGCAATTTGGTTTTCACAACCTTTTTTTTCTTTGATTTCCATATTGAACTCTTGTAACAACAAAATCCATTTGATTAAATGTGGTCTTGCCTCTTTCTTGGCAAACAGGTACCTAAGAGCTGCATGATCAGTATGAATGGTGACCTTGGACCCCAGGATGTATGGTCTGAACTTTTCGCAGGCATATACTACAACCAGTAGCTCTTTTTAGTGACTGTGTAATTCATTTGAGCTTAATTTAAAGTTTTACTGGCATAGTATATGCTATGAAATAGTTTATCCTTCCTCTAGCCCAGAACTACCCTAATAGCTTGATCACTTGCATCACACATTAATTCAAAGGATAGGTTCCAGTCTGGAGGTTGGATGACAGGAATAGTGATCAACTTACTCTTTAAAGCTTTGAAAGCTTTCAAACATTCAGGACTGGGTTCAAATTTAACATCTTTTTCCTACAACTAACAAAGAGGTCTAGCTATTTTGGAAAAATCTTTAATAAACCTTCTGTAGAAACCAGCATGCCAAAAAAAATATCAAAGAGTTTTAACATTGATAGGGGGTGGCATCTTGGCTATGGCTTCTACCTTGGCTTGGTCAACTTCCAATCTGTTCCTGGAGATTTTGTGTCCTAAGACAATTCATTCTCCTACCATAAAATGACATTTCTCCCAGTTAAGAACTAGATTAAAAGAGAGACATCTTTGCAACACTTCTTCTAAATTAATCAGGCAGTGATCATATGACGTTCCCAATACTGAGAAGTCATCCATAAAACTTCCACTCCTTCACCTATTAAATCAGAGAAAATAGAAAACATGCACCTCTGGAACGTTGCTGGTGCATTGCATAATCCAAAAGGAATTCTTCTAAAAGCAAACGTTCCATAGGGACAGGTGAAAGTGGTTTTGTGTTGATCCTCTAGTACTAGAGGAATTTGATTGTACCTAGAATAGCCATACAGAAAACAGAAATATTCCTTACCTGCTAAGTGATCTAACATATGATCTATGAATGGAAGAGGAAAGTAGTCTTTCCTGGTGGCAGCATTGAGTTTTCTGTGGTCCTGGTAGATTCTCCAACCTATAAAGAACAACTCATTTTTTGCATTCAATTCTACAATTATGCCTCTTTCTTGGGAATACATTGGACATGACATACCCAATTACTGTCTGAAATGGAATATATAATTCATACAGTTAACCACTTGATTACTTCTTTTCTTACCACTTCTTTCATGATGTGATTTAATCTCCTTTGATGTTCCACTAAAAAGCTATCAGGGTCAGTCAAAAAAATTTTATGCATGCAGAAAGTGGGACTGATACTTTTGAGGTCAGCTATGGTTCAGCCAATAGCTTCTTAATACTTCTTTAGTTTGTTGATCAGCAAATCTTCTTGTTCTCTGGTAAGGAACGAGGAGATGATAACAGGAAGAGTGTCAACATTTCCCAAATATGTATACTTCAAATGTTGGGGAAATGGTTTTAATTCCATATCAGGTGGCTGCTCTGCAGATAGTCTCTTGACTTGTTTTTTTTTTTTTGTTTGTTCTCTACATAGGCTCAAGTTTTCTTTCTTGAAAATAAGGGATCAGTTCCTCATCCAGCAAACTGTCTTTTTTTTTTTATTCTTCTTCATCTGAGTTCGAGTTAATGTAGGTGTCTAACACAGATATCACAAAACATTCTTCTAAGTCTCCTTCATCATCATGGAACTTCATGGATTTAAGGACATTGAACTTAATTTCATCATCATGAACTCTCATGGTGAGTTCTCATTTCTCTACATTGATGACAACTCCTCTAGTTGCTAGGAACGGTCTTCCCAAAATAATGAGAACGTCACCATCAGCTTCATAGTCTAGGATGATGAAATCAGCAGGAAAAATGAATCTGTCTACTTTAACCAGCAAATCTTCTACTTTTTCTTCAGGCTTAACAATAGATCTGTCAGCCATTTGAATTATTATAGTAGTAGGCTTTGCTGGTCCAGTAGCAAGTTGTTTAAAAACTGAGGAGGGCATCAGATTGATGCTAGCTCCCAAGTCACACAAGGCTTTGCTTGGGAATTGTTCCCTATAACACAAGGGACAATAAAACTCCCAGGGTCCTGTAACTTTGGTGGAAGTTTACCAAAATATTTGAAACTTTTCTCTGTCAAGGTTATTGTCTCATATTCTTCCAAACGTCTTTTTATGGAAAGGACGTCCTTCATGAACTTGACATATTTGGGCATCTGCTCCAAAACTTCTACCAGAGGGATGTTGATATGAAGTTGCTTCAGGATGCTCAAGAATTTTCCAAATTGTTTGTCATCTTGTTGCTTCTTCGTTCTTTGAGGGAATGTAACTGTAACTGGAAATTGTTTCTTTTGTGAAGGCTTTGCTGCTTGACAAATTTCAGCTTCGCTTGCTCACCAGCTATGGTGCGTTCCTCAAGTCCTTGGTTTTTTTTACTGAGACTAGCTGCTTGCTTTTGATGTTGTTCAGGATGTGAAATGCTTAGAGATACCTCAACTGGTTCAACAGGTTCCTCCTCAGTGTTCATGTTTGTTGTCTTAGGTGTGTTTGAGGCTTGTGTAGCAACTCTCCCACTCCTCAAGGTGATTGCTTTAATCTGCTCTGGGGAGGATGTTGAGGGGACTTCAGTGTTTCCTGGAAATTTTCATGGCACTCTAGTGTTAAGCTGGCAGCTATTTGCCCAAAATGGGACTCAATGTTTCGGACAACTACATTATTTCTAGTGACATATTCTTTCACATAATTTTCCAATGCACTGATGCATTGTCCTTTCTGGGGAAGGAAATATTGTTTGGTCTTCTTTTTGATCAAATGCTCCATTTTCTCTATTGTTGCTTTGCTGGTACTATTGTTATTAGTTGTTCTATGGTCTCTGATTCATGGGTGGTGTCCACTAAGGGTTATGGTTCTGATCTTTCTGTATAGTGCCTCCAAAGCTTGTGTTGTTGTTGCGACCTGCATATAGGTTGTCTCTGGTCTGATTCAAGTTTCTGTTCCCAAAATTTTCAGCATAACACACCAGAGTAGTTGATGGACAGTCTGTTGAGTCATGATGGTCACCACATGCTGAACATGGTTCACTTTCAGGGGCTGTGAGTTATAAGACATTGGCTTTGGGCTGATTTCTGTCAACTTTCAAACTCTTTACTTCATTCATCAGTGCCGCCAGTTGAGCTTTCACGGCTGTTTGTTTATCCAACTCTAGTATACCGGTTTCCTGACTGGATTCATCCTCTCTAGTGGCGACTGAAGGCAACGTTCTGCAGTGCTCTCTATGATTTTATGTCTGGATTCAAGAGTTCCTGTAAAGAAATATCCCCCTGCAACAAAATCTAAATAAGACTGAGAAGTATGGTCAATACCCTTATAGAAAGTCGTAAGACTCCCCATTTTTCTACCCTGTGGTTAGGACATTTCTTGATAAAGTCCTTGTATCTCTCCCATGCTTCATGGAGATTCTCTCCATAAAACATTTTGAAGCTAGAGATTTTAGCTCTTACATTAGCTTGACAGGACATAGGGAGGAATCTCTCTATGAACTTATTAGAGAGTTCTTCCCATGAGTGTATGGATCCAGAGATGAGGGATTTCATCTAAGTTTTGGCTCTTGATCCCAAAGACTGAGGGAACAACCTCATTCTTATTCTCTCTTCTGATACACCTTATGTTCTAAAGTTGTCACAAATATCTTGGAAATTGTTAAGGTGAGTGTACGGATCTTCTGCAGGGAGTCCTTTGAAAACTTTCTAGCCTCCCTGATCATATTGAACATGATGGGCTTTAGCTCAAAGTTAGGAGCTTCAACAGGAGGGAGGATTACTCCTCTTTCTGGTTTGTTCCATGAAGGAGCAGCCAGTGCTCTGAACTTTTGTTCTAGAAGAATCTTTTCATTGTTATGATTATTATGATCAGTTATTTCTGCTTCAAGATTATCTTCCCTTAGATTTCTTCTTCTCCTGTGAAAAGTGCGTTCTGGTTCTGGGTCAAAGAAGAACTCGGGTATCTCAATGTGATGGTGAGAACCAGTTTCAGTTTCCTCACTCATAAACCATAAAACATAAACAATATGAACAACAGTATGAACATTAAATAATAAAGAATGATATATTAACAAAGTATAAAATAAAATAGTCTTAAGGACAGAATTTAGTGTAAACTATCCCCGACAACGGCGCCAAGAACTTGTTGGGTGCTTATGTTCTTTTAAGGACGTTCCCCTTACTTAGTCCATCTAGAGAAAACACATTTGTTCTCTAGATACCAACCTAGTCGCGCAAGTGCACGCATCAAGTAATAATTGGGATTATTAGTGCCCAGATTATCGTTCCCATGAGGATAGAACTCTAAATAATACCTTGAACTATTTTAAAAAGAATTTTAAATAAGAGAAAAGACAGTATTTGAACTGTTTAGTCTTTCGTTCCCTACTGCCTTGTGGACGTTCCCTCAAGGTTAATAGGTTCAGATTGACTCTAAACGACTCCTTGCATCGTTATGTATTAAATCCTTCTTGATATGAGAAGGAACGACAAATTCATTGGAGGTTTGATTATATTGTCACAAGAACTTTAAAGTGAAATAACTAAAAATGACAATGTTTAAAAGACAATAAGATAGATGGATAAAAATAGTTTTTAACACAAGGAACGAATCTACTGTTCCATTCTTAAATAACTATACTCCAAACTTAAGACTTAACCCTTCTGAATTTATTCAGGTCTTTTCACTGCCAACTCTGATTCCTCAGTTCCATGAACTTTAATGGCTCATAAGTTTCCATATTCCTATGGTTTCCTTGACTCCAACAGTTACTTGAAAGTTCGAAATGGCCTTGAAGGCCGATGCATGCAAGAGGGAAAAACAAAAGTTTTCTTTGCGGAATATACATGCACATCAAGATCATGCTTTAGGAAAGCATGATGTAACCTTGTTTGTGAAATCACCAGATGATCAAGGCCGGTCTGAAGAGTTCAGACCCTCTAACGTTGATCCACACCACCCACTCGTCTAGGTGCAAGAACTCCTTCTTGTAAAGCCACCGTATGATCACCACAAAGAGGCTTGCTAGGCGCTCTATGTGTGAAGATGGAGGCTAGGTGAAAGTGTTTGAAAAAGTGAAGCTCTCAATCTGAAAGCTTCACAAGTGGCGCAGGAGAGAGGAGAGAATAGGCTAGGTTTTCAGAAAAACCCTTGGAGGAACAACTAAACACTTAGGCACATAAGAGGAGAGTATTTAAAAATAAAATACCAATCAAATTTTTCTCCTAAAAATCTGATCCTTAGGCGCCAGATAGGAGAGAGAGAAGTGGAGTTATTTTATTTCAAAAATTGCTAACAGGCTCTTAGAATATTCTCTTGAGAATTGGTTCAAAACCTATTCAAAATTCTGATCAGAAATCTTCATAAGATCAGCTATATGGTGCGCCCCATATAGCCCAAAAAGGTGACCAGATACATCTGAGTAGTTGCATTCAAATTTGAATCAACTCACTCAGATTTTCTCCCAACTGACTGAATCTTCTGGAGCTGATTTTGATGAGCAAATCTTGCTCACCAACAACCCAAATCAGCGCCATATATGGCCTTGGATCTTGTCCAAAAGATTCTCTCATGATACTAGTGATTTGTTCCAACAAGATCTCATCTTATCCTTTTGTTATGAAACAACCTTTCATAGGCAATTCAAATTCAAACATTCAAATTCAAACATTCAAATATTCAAATTCAAATGTTCAAACATTCAAATTTAAAATTCAAATTCAAAATTCAAATTTTCAAATTTCAAAATTCAAATTTCAAAATTCGAATTCAAAATCCAAATTTCAAAATTCCAATTTCAAATTTCAAATTTCAAATTCAAAATTCAAAATTCGAAATTCAAATTCAAAATTCAAAATTTCAAAATTCAAATTTCGAATTCCAAAATTCAAAATTTAAATGTTTGATAATTAATTTAACTAATTAAATTAATTAGTAATGTCTTGGACTATCCAAGCCCATTACAATGAACCATGCGCCCTCCACCCCTTTAGGTGGAGTTCCAAACTACTTCTTAGGCTAATAACTATTATTAGGCCCAATACCTTTAATGCTAGAGCATCTAGACAATTAGGTGTTTGTGTGTGACCCATTAGGTCTAACTTAGCCACTGACATAAATGGGCTTAGGCTCAATAAGCCCACAACCCATCTAATGACAACACAGAGTACTAGCAATGCTTTGTTGCCCCAGAACTAGTTAGATTAATGATTTGATCATCCTATTAAACATATTTGGTTGCCGTACATATTTCCTTTCGTCTCGGTTACCTTCCCATAAAACCTAGGGTAAGGAAGCATATCAACCCCTGCGGTTTAGGGTAAGCTTTATTCGAAATTAGGGAATCTTCAATTTACAGACTCTAAAGGCAGATCATCTCATGATCTCTTTTACTATGCATAGATTCCTGAGTCCCTGTAAATGTCATCCCGATTTCTTCGGTTTACAGATAACCTAATCTCTCACAGAGATTTGACAAATTCCTTCAGCTTATCACCCTAGCCCTGTGTTCTTTCAGGACAAGCCCAACAGTATACCTATGAGTCTCCATGTTTCAGGCAGACGAAGTGCACAATCAAAGCATGCCTTCTAGAACACAGTCAAGGTAATAACTTCTGGTCTTAGGAAAGACATACCCAAATATAAAAAGACTACTCTAATGATACTCTCTGTGAGAGTTCCTCATAGAGTCTCTTTGTGGGTCCGTTCAGTGCGAGCTATACCCTTATAGGTCCACCCACGACTTTAGCTAAGACATCTCCATATCTGTAGCACATGAGGTCTATACCTTGTATCCATATACAAATAGATAAGTCGTGTTAGTCTTACCCGAGATTACTGACCTCATTCTCAGTATCTCTAGACTAGGAACATAAAATTAGGAATGAACATCCGGTAAACTTGAATCCTCATGATTGTGATCTCATCACAGATACTCAAGAGATACCTATTTTTATTCCACGGGGTTTATCAAGTTATTCATAATATATTAATATTATTATTGAGACATAATTATGAAACAAGATAAAGAGTGCTTTTATTTATTTGCGACAATATTAAAAAGGTCTACATCTCTGTCCTTATTTAATCATAAGATTGTCTCTAGGACACCCAAATACTAACATTACTAAGTTTAGAACCTTCAGAGAACAAGGTGGTTCCTTATTTCTAAGGCAACCAGTAGCATTTTTTCACATCCCTACCTTCCTCCTATGATTAAGTTGTCTGAAATCTCTTCCTTAAGGAAGTTCTTTTCTCAGTTGAGTTCAATTTCCATTGATACATAAAAGGTTAAGCTTACTTAAATCACATAAATACAAAAGCTTCAATGTAAAAGTTTTGAGCATAGTTGTTGCGAAGTCGGCAACTATACCGTTCGTTTCAAGTAATAAAGTGATAAGTAGAGTATCGTTCCCACGAGGATTAATGCACAAAGTACTAGTTTAACTATTCCCCTTAAGTTGGAAAATAAAAACAATTAAATTTAAAACAGAAAAGTAATGACAATTAATTTTGAACGCATGCGTAAAAAGATCAAGAACGCGAGAAAATATTGATGAAAAATTTATAAAAAGGATGTAGTCAGGATGCACTTCACCTCCGATCCTCCCTTGTATTCCTATATTATATTTTATAATTAATTAATTCTTTGTTCAGACAATTCATTATTTCCCTCTAAAATAGTTGAACCCTAATGTCTTAGTGATTTCAACCCTTTAAACCAATCAGAATTCTAATGTCTTAGGAATCCCTCTTGAATTAAGCATTAAGCAAATGAATTATGAGTCTGCAATTTATGTAAGACTATGTCTAGATCATACACAAATTGTTATTCTATCCTTGTCCAGATTAAAACCCCAATATGTCTATTATGAATTCTAACCCTCAAAGCCCTATAATTTAGAGTGGCCAATTCTAAACAGGATATGAAAAAATTAACATAGGTAGAATAAAAAAACTAACTAATTAACTTATAAAATATCAATACAGAAAATATAAAGGATTCACATTGGGTCCGTGATCCCAACTACAAAAAGAAATTAGCCAAACATACTCATGTCTGACTTAAACAAATAAAAGAAATAAAAAGTATTCATGAAAACAATAATGAAAAAGAAGAAAAAGATCAAGGATCAATGGTCTTCGTTCTTCAACTCTGTCAGAATCCTGATCTCCAGCGTGAGCCTCTAAGAATTCTTTCCAGCCAAAGATGTTTGTCTCTGGGGTCTGAGTCTCTATTTATAGACTTTATGCCCGTGCTTAGAAATCTTGATCAAATCTTCATCATATATCTTAGTCCAATCTTTCTGAGATAAGTTGAAGATTTTCCTACAAAAATATAATAAAATCAGTGACAAGATATCTGATTGAGATTTATCAATTTAATAACAATTATTGCCCTTTTTATCCAAGATCGATCAAGATTCTTTCTCTTTTTGGCTTACAATCATATATATGCTGGAGG